AGTCTACCCTGCCTTGTTGTCAGATAGAACTCAGTGGGGATTACTTCGTTCTATCTCCTTCTCCTGATATTGCCATGTATACTGGGATGCTTGCAATGCAACTACAAGAGAATATTGCTATGCCTTGCTCCCCTCATTTATCAGAACAACATGCCATGGCTTTAGTATATTTGGACACTCAATAGTTGGATTTGTTGTTGGATCTATAGGGTTCCAGGTTAGAACCTGTTATCCAAGAGTACCAGATATCCATTTTCGTGTATTCATTTAACTCTTTAAATCTGTATTGTGATACTCCTCTTCATAATTTCCAGGAGGTGTCCCTTTTTTGGCCTTACTAGTTTGTTGAAGTCCCTGAAAACTTTTGAAGCCCAATTTTATATGACACTCTTGTAGTTTTCTTTATCGTCCTTGGCTGCTCGCCTCCCTTCTACTCCAACGGGTAATTCTGGAGGATCGATCATTCGCATCTCCCGACACCCCATCTTGTCCTATTCATTTACAGAATGGGTTTGTTTGTATTCTTAGTATCTACCCATTCAGAAGGTCAATCCCATTCATCCTGGATTCTATTCTCATCTTTTTCTGGTACCAAGAACACTAGAGATTGGCATCTTATCATCAATCCGTCTCGACTCAGTCTCTTCCTACAGCCTCCTCATTTCACCATGGAATCGTTTCTTCAACTTCAATGGCACTTCACACCAGATCTTTGGATGACCAAGTTTGATGTTACAGATGCATACCTTCACATTCCCATAGCAGTCTGCTTGTCAATTTCTACATTTTTGCACGAGGACCAGATGTAGCAGTTCCAAGCTGTCCCATTTAGACTTACTTCAGCACCATATGTTTTCTGCCGAGTAGTATGGGCCTTTGAGCAGCATCTTCATTTTCTGGGACTGTGCACACATTGGTATTTGGAAGATTGACTTCTTTTGGCACCAACCTGTCACATTGCCACACTACATCTACAGATTCTCCTTTCCAAAGCCAGTAGGGCAGACTTCATATGAGATTTGAAAAATCCATTCTTTCACCACCTCCATACATGGTTCATCTTTTTCAATGCACTTTGAGTCAAGCTCAACCTTCTCCCCTCATACTTCATGCTAGGGAAAGGATTATCAGACATTTACTTATGTCACCTTCTCCCACTGCATGAATGGTTCTGTCTGTTTTGGGGAGTTGAGCTTCCCTAGAACCCCTCATACCATTGGATCAGGCCCATATGAGATCCCTTCACTGGTCATTTCACATCCAGTGGCTCATGCATACAGATCCTTTGGATCACACAGTCCCTTTGCTTGAACAATTTGGAGATCTCAAGTGGTGGCTAGACAGGAACAACACAAATATCAGGGTCTGGATACCACCTCCTTGTGTGGAAATCCATCTCTTCATGGACGTTTCTCTTCACAGATGGAGTGCTTTTCTTCTGGGGTAGGCATTTCATGGTATTTGGACCGACTACGAATCTACCTTGCATATCAACATTCTCGAACTTCTTGCAGTACATCTAGTGATGATTCCAGTTCTTCCTCTCTTGCATGACAAAATGGTCATGATTCATTCTGACTACTCCACAGTGGTTTCATTTATTTTTCATCAGGGAAGTTCTCATTCTTACGTTATTGGTTTTTGGGCTTTGGAACTTCTTTTTTTGGCTCATTCCAATGACATCCATCTTTTGGCCTGTCATGTGCCAGGGGTTATGATTTTGGTAGCAGATCACCTTTCTTGACCCCATTAGATTCTTCCACCAGCATGGGTGTTCCATCAGATAGTATTTCAATGGATTTGTTTTTAATTCAACTCTCCAGTAATAGACACCTTTGTAACCCAGTGGAATGCTAGCCTACAGTTCCTGTCTCCAATTCCACATCCACAAGCTCTGGCAATAGATGCTTTCAGTCAAGACTGGACAGGATTTCATTTGTATGCCTTTCCTCCTATTCATCTCTTACCCAGACTTTTGTCTATGATTCATTTCACCCCATGTTGATTTCTCTTGTCAGCACCTTTTTGGCCTGCTCAGACATGGTTTTCTCTTCTTCAGTTGCTCTAGGAATGTTTACCACTACCTCTTCAATCATCCTTGTTGAGACAAACTTAGTCCAACATTCAACACCTTGATGTTTAATGACTCCAGCTTCATGCATGGAAGTTATGCAGTCCTTTGCCTGGCCATAGGGGTGTAAATTCTACACTTTCCATTTATTTGACTATATCCCCCATCAACCTATTATGGCAGTCTATTGATGGAAATGGACTACATATTATCAGTTGTGTCTTTGGTGAGCCTTCAACCCACTTCAT